GATTATTTATTCACAGTCCTTGCTCTTTGCCTGGGCATAATAAAAATTCAGCTGCCTCTTTCTCACTTACAAGTATAATGTAGTATCTAAAGCCACAAGTCCACTGCCATCAAGTCTGTTTTGACTGACCGTAACCCTGTAGGACATAAAGCTGGCAAAGTCGTACTCTTTATGGGAGCAAATTGCCACGTCTTTCCAACCTCCAATCTTTCAGTTAGTAGCTGAGTGCGTAATCACGGCACCACTGAGGCTCCTGGTTTACTCTTGTCAGAGCAAAGCTACATTGGGCCATCTTAAAGGTAGAACCCAGTATTAGGTCATGTATGACTTCCGGGAATGACGGTGAACATGTTAAATGGAAATCGTGCTCTTCTCAAGTTTTAGTTATAATCATGTTTTTGCTCCTTTTCTCACTTTCTGAATGCCTCCCTCTGTGTATCATGTGCTTATTTGCAATGGAAGCCTGCACTATCTCCCAAAGGGGACAGGCCCAGTTGCTAAGAGGTCAATGGAGGAAAAAGCATTTTGGAACGAGCCTTGAAGGCTTACCAGGAGCATGCCCACCTGAACTTTTTGCTAATTTCTGATCCTTGTTTTATATAAATTATTCCTTTCATTGTCTTCATTGAGCTTCTGCCTTGGCCACTGAGACTGAGTAGCAATTATCTATTATTTGGTGTTTGGGGGTATTTTGAATAGGTTTGAATGATATTGCATATGTTTCCCGTAGTCATTTCACATAAACACCTTGAAAGGAGGTATTGCTTTACCTGGTAAGAATGCTAAGCCTTCGAGAAATTTAGGCTCTTACTCTTTGGTGCGATGAGGTAAGCAAAATGGGGAAACTGTTACGCTGACCCTCAGGATTTTATATTCTAATGGAGGGTGTGAGAAACATAAATGCATAGCACATACCACCTATAACAAAAGGTAGCATGGATGACTTACTAAAAGATCTAAAGTGACAGTATGAGAAATCTGAGGAGCCCTGGTGGCACTACGGGCTCACCGCTGGGCCACTCGCCAAAGAACCATGGTTCAAATCCACTGCAAACAGAGTAGGCTGCCTGCTCCCCAAAAGACTTCATCTTTGAAACACGGAGGAGTGAGTCTACTCTGCCATACAGGTTCAGTGTGATTCACTCAATGAGAATTCCCTTCACTTCAATTTTGGATGTCTCAAATTTTATCTCAGCTAAGTAGATCATCTGGGGGATTTCAGCCAAGGATACGTGCAATGCACACCACAGCCATGTGTGTTTTAAAAACTAGAGCATTAAGTTTTAGGCTAGCCTTTGTGCAACTATACGTCGTTGCGAAAGAATAAAAGTCATGGTGGCTACAGGACAAAGGGTAGAGCATGTAATTCAGAATCCTACTTATTGAGATACAAGCAAGTGATGGTAAAGTAGAGGAACAGAGGTAAAGGGAAGGATTGACACAGTGGCTCCAATAGTGAACCCCACTGTACCAGCAGCTGCGAAGACGGTACCGAACAGGGCACTGTTTCCTTCTGTCGTACCTAGCGTCACTGTACATTGTAACTGACTTGACAGCACCCAACAGCAATTAAGTTATTAGGATTCCGAGATGAAGGCAAAGTAAAGTGGATAAAAACCATCAGGGAGGCGTAGCGTCCACAAGTACAAGGCAGTTTGGGAGATCAGAATAAGGTCCCAGAGATTACTAAAAATGGGGCATATTCAGCCTCAGCCAAGAAGTACCACATGCATTTCCTGCTGAGATAAAGCTATTTCTTACCTGCTATTGGGAGTCTGTCATTCTCCCTAAGGTGATACAGTGTGGGTGAACCTGGCCAGATTGGGTGGGGAGGGGAGAGACAGGATTGTGTTCATAGTCAGTACTAGAATTTGGTCTAATATTTTAATTTTGCTTAGTCATTATTTATATTTTTAGACAAATACCTTGGATACATTTAGAAAAAATACTTTTTATTGTAGTTTAGTACAACCTTTTTATTTCTGGCGCTTCTACCTAGTAGTTCTGTAGGTAAAGATCGTACTGCAATTGCTAGTCAGCCAGCTACTGCCTCATCATCATCATCATCATCATCTGTCACTTATTATACACTTGTTATGTGTCCGCTATTGTGCTAAGTGTCTTATCGTATTTAACCCTTAAATCACACCTAGGAGATGGGTGCCATTGTTAGCCACAGTTTAACTGATGAATTATGGGGATTTAGAGAAACTAACTGGCTCAAGATCACAAGCCTAACCATTGATTTATATATCAGGATTCAGACATATTATGCAGTCCCACTCCAAGGCAAGTGCTTGTAAGTATTGCCTCAAGGGCAGTGGTTCTCAACCTTCCTAATGCCGCGACCCTTTAATACAGTTCCTCATGTTGTGGTGATCATAAAGTTATTTTCGTTGCTACTTCATAACTGTAATTTTTGCTACTGTTAAGAATCGGGCGACCCTTGTGAAAGGGTTGTTCGACCCCCAAAGGGGTCACGACCCACAGGTTGAGAACCGCTGCCCTAGGGCCTACCAAGGAGGCCTGGTGGTGCATTGTATTAAGTGATGGGCTGCTTGGTGGGACAGCAAAGGGGCTGTCCTCCTGTGTAAGCGACTTGCAGCCTCAGGAACCCCTTGGGCGGTTCTGCTCCCTCGAGTAGGGTGCTGTCAGTCAGAATTGGCTCAACTGCCTTGGCTTTGACTGCACCATACATACCTATGGCTGTTCATTTGATTGTAGCTGTAATAATAGACCCATGAACAAAAGTAAAGAAAAAAATATATACCACCTACACTTTTCTATACCCAATTATAAATTACTTTAGAAGGTGTAATAGCAGACTGCTTCTCTTTTGGAATTATAAATAAAATCTCTCTAATACAGTGTAGTGTCTACTGAAATAACCTCATGGCTTAGAAAAATTTCCTAAAACTTTGGTTTTTCACATAAGTGAAATTCCCTAAAAATTATAGCTGTAAGACTTCGTTCTTTGTCTCTATTTAGGTGAAATTTCCTTTTAATATATTTTGTTAATGAACTTACATTTGATGTAGACGTGCTGCTGGCACTATGGGTTCACTGTTGGATTGCTAACTGCAAGGCCCACAGTTCAAACCCACCCACTGTCCCTTGGGAGAAAGATGGCTGCTTGCGCTTTTAAAGATTTACAGTCTTGGAAGCCCTATATCGAATTCAACTTGATGGGGTTTTAGTTATGTATTTGTAGGTAATTAAAACAGACAATGTCAGATAAACCTATTAAATGCCATTCTAGGTAGTAGCTGAAGATATTCTTGTTTTGTGTAAATTGCTTTTGGGTATTTTAAAATGAAATTAGTTCAGAGAAAGAAACAAACTAACTAAATTTTCTTCCAAATGAATTCACTATAATTAAGTAATTTTCCTTCTAAAAAAATCCAACATAACCACAGTTTAAGCAGACATTACCTGGGAAAAGACAGAAATTTCTTTGAAGAATTTATCTGTATTCATTTTGATAATTCGGATTTTATCCAACAATTTTAAAGTGGACTAAAAGTATGCCTAACTTAATTTGAATATAGATTTCCAGATTAACAAGTTTGATTATTAAAACTTTAGGGAAACAGGAATAATCCTTTATCTTTCTCTTGAAGAAAGGGGCATTAACTGATTTAAACGTATATAGTTGGATATTGGAAGATCCTGGGGCTGGGGGCACAGATTATTTGAATCCGAGCTAATGTTTCTGCCACACCCTGTTGTCATTCAGCTCCTCTGGGCCACCTTGGATATATTATGTCAGCTAATATTTTCAGCTAATGGTTACTTCAAGGGGACTGTTTCATAGATAATGATTCTTCAAATTATAGTAAATGGCTTATATAAGATCATTTTTTTAAAGCTTTGTGAAATTTGTCAGTGTCTATGATTAGAAAATTCTCCATTGCAAATTTAAGTAGCTAAGGGTGCTTTGGCACTGTTTGAAGTGCATATGAAGAAAATATAGAAGTTACTTTTTTAACTCATTATTAATAACCACATTTGATCCCTTCTACCCATTGGTTATTCATCATTGTAGCTCGGATACTTTTCCCTTGTATTCTTTCTAGTGTTCAAAATAACACTGCAAGGAAGGCATTCTTCTTATTGCCTTATAAGCAGGCTTTCCGATGTCAGTTTGCTCAGGTTACACAAGCTACAGAAGTGTGCTCCAGCCTAGGCGTTCTGGGTCTCAGAGTATATGCTTTTTCCATCCCAACATGCTGACACCAGCAAGTTATCTGGTTTTATCAGAAATAAAACAGTAGCGTGGCCATTAGTTTCTACCTTAAGTAGGTTACTAACTTAAAGTATTTATAATGGTTTTCAGTTTACCAGAATATTCGAACACCCTGACTGTGCCAGATAACTGTGTTAATTACTTTAATTACAGGAGGTTTGATCTATTGTAAACAATAACATTTTTTCCTAGTATTTCTAGAGTTCATCAAAATTCCAGCAACCATTTAAAATGAATTGTTTGTCTTTTCTTCTTGGCATTCCTAAAAGAGTTAGTGTGTAATAATTAGATTTTGCATTATCTGCAGGTTTTCGGTGAAGCCAAATGGACGAGAGAGAAACTTTGATGGCTGCTAGAATGGGTTTTTATAAGTTGGATGGCACTTTTCTCGTATTGCTCTCCCTATTTTGTTCAGAAATAAAGTTTTCTACTTTCTAATAGCCAACTAAATGCTTATTTCCCAGATTTCACCTCAGAGCTCTTTCCGGAGGCCATCGCTGTTTTGAAACTATTTTAATGGCCTTCATTGGGGTGTGGTGAAAATGTACTAATTGCCTTTGCTAAAAACCAGGGTTTCCTATAAATTGAATTTTTCTTTTAGGATAATTGCTATTCGCTTTTTATTCATATGCAACTGAGTGGGGTTTTGCAGTATCCTCAGTGGACAATTAAAGTGCTGAAATTGGAGAAAGCTAATAACTGCTTTGTGTGGTCATACTGACAACTTGTGCTATTTGTCCATCTGTGTTAACAGTATCGATCAGGATGGGATCCTCATAGAGGGGCAGATAATATTTCCACTAAATCTTCGGACAGTGATGTAAGTGATATATCTGCGGTTTCCAGGACTAGTAGTGCTTCTCGTTTCAGCAGCACAAGCTACATGTCTGTCCAATCAGAGCGGCCCAGAGGAAACAAGAAAATCAGGTGAGTGTGGGGAATTTTGCTGTAAACTCCTCTAAAAAGATTTTAGAAGGTTCTTAGTTTTCCCTTTGTATAAACTTTAAATCCTTTTCTCCTAAAAGGTTAAGAGATGTCAGTTAGGCCGTAAGAACCTCTGTGTGCTCTTGATTGCATTTGGGGTTCATTTAGAACTTTTTGCACAGAAA